TGGGTTGGCATTGTGAGGAAAAAGAAAATCTGCTGTCTGAAATCTTGCCAGTGAAAGGAAAAGAAAGCACCGTAAATAGTTGAACTTATTTTAACACCGGCAATGCGTGTACATATTAAGTTCACAGTACTTCCAAGGTAACTGACAAATCCTTATTTAAATCTTCATCCCACAAATACTGTATCTGTTGAACCTTGGAGGGTGTCTTCAGAAGCTTGGTGGACAAAAATGCAAAAAGAAAAACACATTTTGTGGACTGGTCATATCACAGTTTTCTCTTGGGGTTTTTTTTCCTTTCAGAAAGATTTTACTAGGATCCCAACATCACGCCCTCCACCTTTTTCAATTTGTCATTAATATTTTCCATTTCTTTCTTTTTGGGGGGGGGGAGTTTGGTCCTTTGATTTTTTTCTTCAGAAATTTTAACAGGATTGATAAATCTGGTGAGAATAGTAATTTTGTTGATTCTGAGAAGTCACCTAAAATTGCTGAATCACCATATCACTTTCCCGTTCGTCTGTGTCATTCTTTTCAAAGCACATCAACAGCACCATGCATTTGAACACGGACAGAGACTGTGAAAACTTCATGTAACATTATACAAGTGTTAATGTGTTATGCTGAGACTGGCAGTCATCGTCAAGGGCCTTCTCATTTGCCCCCCTGATACTCCTGTGGTGACCTTGCTTCCAGTTCTATGGAGCACCTCTAGTAACGCAGCAATGAGCAAAAGCATGGATGCGTAAGCCTCCTGGATTACCAAGGAATCCCGAATCCAGCCATGTTGCAGCAATTAACTTGATTAACTCAGGCTTCTCTGTGGTCTATTTTTAGCAGTCATTAGGAGTTCTATTCATTTTTTCTGTTGGTAAGTAAAAACCTATCATGAGCATGAAATGGCTGGGACTATTTCTATTTCCCTTGGATGGGATGCTAGTCCGTGGCAGGTTACTCCCAAGCTAAGACTGGTACCCATTGGTACTCCTGGATAGAGAGAGGCAAATTGGGTGAAGTGACTTGCCTAAGGACACAGCATATGGCTAGCAACTGGATTTGAAACCTTTAAACTCTGATCTTTATTGATAAGATACATGTATTTGTTACATTACACTCGTCAAATCTCTAATTTCCCAAGTTATGTAGGTAGCTTCATCTTCCCTCAGTGCTAGGCTGGTTTTAGGCTACAAGCAGTACTTACAATACCATCACCATGTCACCAGTGATCCACAGAGCAAAGTTGACACGGAATACAGGAAGGATTGTGATGGCAAGTGATATCCTAGCCGGCCGAGTTAAATGCTTAAATGACTCAACTTAGCTGGTAGTCTGCGGGTAGGGAATGTGGTGAGTTGTCAGATAAAAGCACTGCTACAATGCTGTCAGGAATCTATTGGCTATATGCGGTCACCTTTGAGGGTGCTGTCTGTCTTGTGATTGGATATTAGATGACATGCGCAGACTTCTTCAAGTGCATTACACCTTTTACAAAGTGTCACAGGAAACGTATCCCACATGTGGAGGTGCAAGATTGGCTAAATACGCCCCACCTACGTGATCACACATGCTTACTTCCTAAGGGTGTAATGATTACAGAATATCTTGAACTTAAGTTGTTACCGTGATGACAACTATTTTCATTTTCATGTTTTACAAGATATATTTTGATTCGTTCACAATTTTGAAATCCAGTTAATTTTAATAAAACATATTCACAGCCAGGAATTACGATAGGATATTCATATCACAATGCTATATGGTGGTATTCTTGTGATTGATGGATACATTGATGTATCATTACGTTCCTAATGAACACTCATTTCAACAAAGCTCTGGACTGTTCTTTTTTGTTTCATGTGGTTAATACAAAATTAAAACTTGTAAAAGAAGGAAGCCAGATATCAAGTTAGGTTGTCAAAGACAAAATATGCATGTTATTGAATGTCACTCTCTCTTTGAATGTTTGTGTTAAACTTATCTTTTCGGAAAAGCACAATGCACTAGGTTTCAGATTACAAGTAATTTATAAAGATACAGCCATGATATAGAATTGTAAACAATATTGTAACTGTTTCAACAACATCCTGTAGTCGTGTCTGCTGTATAAATTTGTCAGTATCAATTTTTTTCTAAACAGAAAATGTTTTTGAATTTGCCCAAACGTAACATGACCTCCTTCATTATGCTGGACAATGCTAAATGATTGTTTCATTGTTTGCTAATGATTCACTGCTTCGGCAGTACAATGGGCAGAATTAGGAGAATTCCTCTTAAAATGTGGAATTTGGATTTTTGAACCTATTGACCAATCAGAGTGCTGCTTCCACACTCAGAGGGGAACCTTGGTAATGGTGAAGAGACAGCTTCAGTACATATGAATGTGAAATCAGTCGAACCATGCTTGAATTGATTGTAGTGTATTTCAAAAAAGACAGCAAAAGTTGGAAATTCAACAACATGTATGGAGCTTTTGAGTATTAGCATAACGTGTACCCTTCGTGGGTGTCTTATTTCAATTTGGAAGATCTTTTCCAAGGGTTGACAAATCAAAACTGATTTGCTCACATGATTACGTTTGTAGCAGAATCAAGAATTTTATTATGTGGAAAATGGAAATTTTTGCAAATGGAAAATCGTTCTAGAAAAAAACGGTTGGAAATCATCATAGTCACTCAAGTGGTACCCATTTTGGTGTAATTAACATACATTGTAATTTTTCTCTCGCCTTTAATTTCACCAAAATCAAGCTTTCTTATGTAAAGATTATTTCCAGACAAATAATGCTGTCCATCCTTCATTCAGTATTATGTTCCTTCTGTAGCTCAGCTGTCATAGCTGATGTAAATACTGTAAAAAGATAATAATAATTATAAGAACGAGAAAAAAAACTGTTCAAAAGCAACAAATAATGCACTGATAGAGGTATAAACACCTGTGTCGATGGTATAGATAGTCCAGTAACTGCAATTAATTAATTGTTCATTATGTCAGAACTCTGTTGACTTCTGTCATATTTTTGGTCTTTGGGGTGGGAACGGTGTCTACGTTTTTAGAGTTGATCACTTTCCAGTGTAGTTGTGGTATTGATTCACAATGCAATATGCAACCAGCCAATCATTTCCTGGAGGCAGCTTGTTCAACCACGGAGTTGACCTTCAGCCTCTGTTGTCCTGTAGTTAATATATCTGTCCTTTGTCAGCATGAAGTCCCTAACACAAAAGCATATGTAAAGCTCGGGAAGGGATTTTCCCCGTCCAGGGACAGAATGAATGATGGATCAAATAACATGCCAAAGTCATTTCCTCTGAAATCTGTAATTCTTAAGAGAGCAGAACACACCCCCCAAAAAACCCTCTCTGCTCAGTTGTTTAAAAAACAATTAAAAAAAAAACATTTATCAAAGTTGGCTGATGTCTCCTTGTATGTGGAGATAAGGTCATTGAAGACACATGTACCTCACTTGCCATACATGAGGCACATGCAAGCTTGTATACTATTTCATCCAAGGAATGCGGCTTGTGTAATTACCGAAGAGCACTGTATATTTTAAGAATTTGGGGTTGACAGTTGAGACGCATTGGTTGTATATTCTGTCCAATCCCATTTGTACAAATTGCAGACCGTGTATAAATACTGTATGATGATAATACTTGATGTTTATGTTATTAGTTGGCTAATGCAAAACGTAGCTACGAAGTGGAAGTAATCAGTAGATTGGATAATTCTTAGAGGAGAATAACAGCTTAGGTCAAATGAATTAGACAGTTAATGTCCAATAACAGGAATTTTGTAACTTAAGTTTACTAATTTTGATTCTAATCTTGATTTTGGCCTAGGCATAATGCCAGATCCTGTGTAGAAATATTGCTTATTCAGTTTTCATGGTAAGCAAAAATCAGATGGGAACAAGTGATAACCAGTATGCATTGCAGGATTTAGCCTGTGTCCCATTTGCTATGCCACTGTTTTCTGTACTTAAAAAAAGAGCATCATCATCAGTCTGGAGTATTACTATGTTTGGACAGCCTATTACATTACAATCTCGCACAATCTGACCAATCACAAGCCTTGTTCTAGCAGCTTGCAATGGGTTGCATGGGTGTTTCTAGGTTACAGGGTGCTTTTCTCACATTCTGCAGCATATGGAGCAAAAAAAATTTCAATTATAAAAATTTGGTTGGCTGTGCAAAACAACCTGACTATAAACAAAAACTAGAAGTTCTAAAACAAGTTTGTACCAACGGGATTTAAAATTAGTCATTGCCAACTTGAGATATTCAAAATTGAATTTTGACAAAGATTGCTCTATCAGTAAAGGAAACGTCACTATGCCCATATATGGTAATACTCTAGACTGATAATGTTGGCTCTTGATCTAACCTTTTAGTATGTTAGTACAGGTTTCATGTAACTTTACAGGAATTTGTATTTTATTTTGTGACTGGATACTCTTTGGTTTAGAAGTTTTAAAGTGGTTAGATTTGAAATTTGTATTGAAAACTGCAGAGGCTAGTTTATTGCATCATTGTAGTCAAATTTCCTGCTCTGAATCGAAATATTTTCTACTTTGGGTATCCACTGTGTATTGGAGCTCTCCAGTTGATACAAGGACATGTAGAATGATGCCCCCCACCCCTTTGAAAGGCAGTACACCCCTCCCCCATCTCATCTCACGTGACCTATTGTGCATTGCCACTCAAAGGGGTGTGGCTGATATTCTTGACTTCCGAAGATGTGCAGTATTGCCCTGTGAATGCCTGTTTTGAATTAAATAATCACAGAGAAAGATCTGCCCGTAGGAAACGAGACAACTTGATCATCTGAAAAATTTTACTGGGTCCCCGTTTTCAACATGCTGGCTTCAATCTTTCGGCTTAATCAGTTCAGATGTTAGCTGTAAAAGGCTGGCTGATTTTTAGAATTCTCTGTATCATTTATGAGAGGTAAGAGGAAATGTTGTGTGTGTTATTGTTTTCAAATAGTGATAATTTATAGCTCCTGCTTTGTATGAGCAAATGGAGTGGACTGTGTACATTTTTGTTTTTTACTTTGTAATACATTTTCTTATCCCAAATAAGCATTTTTACTTGTCTGGTTTTAGCTTTGAGGTTGAGTCAAGTGTGTGGCTTAAAATAGGGAGTGGCATTTCATAAATTCATTCCCATATTTGACTAAAATCAAAAGATGCAGCAGGTGATTTCAAAATATAAAATCGTACAGCTATTTTTAAACTCAGTGTCATAACTTGAACATTTTAAATAGTAAAAAGCTTTCTGAAGATAATGTAGCAGTTCAGTTTAAGAAAAAAAAATGAGGTCAAATGTCCATAACTGTTAACTAGCACAATGGAAAAAGTTCAGGAATTTGTGGCTATGAGTATTTTTTAGGTTGTATCAATATTACTTGGTTCTTGATGCTTGGTTTATTAAAAAATGCAGATCTGTTCACAGCTAGCTGAAGGATGATGTTGCTCATTATTTGGGCCATTTTATTTGTGAATTTCAGCTGGTGCACCGTCTTGATTCAGTGTTGGTAAACATAATGGAATGCCTCCAAGAGTTTGCAACACGTTGGTCACAATCTGTCGACCCTTTCTAAATGCGCAATCGATCGACAGATTTTGTGCATTGTGATTGGCCAACATGTTGCAAACTCTTTGAGACGCACCATTGTGAAACACCTGTATTGCTTGTGCGTATACAGAACAGCATATCCGAATAGGGCACTATCCATGGTGGATGCAGGGCAACTTTGGAACATATTACCTTTTTGCTATTTAACTGAAAAAATCAAAAGTTTAGAAATTGTTCTGGCATCTTCTTTTGCAAGAGAGAGGTTTCTTGTAAGAATGAAATAATTTGGGCAATAATTTCAGAGTGTAATTCCAGATTCATTCTGCCCCCAACCCAGTAACTCCAACCCGGTAACTGGGGCATTGTAGTTTTTTTTACAATGGCGTGACTTTGGTTAGTAGTACCAAGGTCAACAATTAAAAAAATTCAGCACCCCAGTAACTGGTTCTAGAAAGGCCAGTGATATAACACTCTTGCCTCCAAACTTAAGGTTGTGTTCAAAAGTTTTAAGGGAAGGTACTGCCCAGTCAAAGGGGAAAATGTTTTGGTTTTTGAAAAAAAATGAGATTTGGGGGAGACTGGTTCAATTCCTTCCAGGTGCATGTTTAAAAAGCCCCCAAAGTTAAGCGTTTATTTCAAGGCCCTCCCGAAGAAATATTGCTCCAGGAAAAATTGGTTCTGGATCTGCCTTAAGTTTTACCAGGAAGTCACTCTTTGTACATATTGTTCAAGCACTCAGATTTTTGTTGGGTTTTTTTTTTTGGGGGGGGGGGATTTTTATTTTGAGATAGCCTTAATTCAAAGGCACGTGCACGACTACGAATATCCTGACATGATCCTGGCATTGTGAACTTCGTGATGTTATGGTATCCATGTCATGGACTTTACGGAGAAAGGAGGAATTTTCTTCATGTTTACGCGAAGCGAAAGAAGAATTTTCCAGGACGAAAATTGAAAAGTGCCTTGGGATAATCATTGTAAGGGGCTAGTAGTTGCCTGTTTAACATTTGAAAAAATGTCAGGTCAGAAAATGACGATGGAGACGGTGGATCATCATCCCTAGTCACTTGGGAATTCGAGTGAGGGCGCTGTTCAAAGGCAAGAAGTATTACAAGGAGGTAAGTCCGAGTGCAGTGGCTGAGACTGTGTCTGAATTATTTGGCTGCGGCTTGGAATTACACAGAACTTCACCAAAGGTGGCTGCAGCCACGCTATCATAGACCGTGCGGCAGCCAAGCACAAGTCACGTACATACATATAGATGTACATGTATCTACACTGAGTTATCGGTTGTGTGGATATTTCTCGGTAGCTGTTGGACGGGTTTCTGAAACTTTCTTCCCCAGGCAAGTTGGATCGACTGAGACTCGCTCGGTATTTGGATAAATGGCATGGTAAGTATTAGGAGTGTTTTAGCGAGTTTGTCGTGAATGCCTGGTCCTTGTTTCTTTTTTTTCACCCCCCAACTAATAATACAGCCCTCCGCTGCATGCAGCATGTCGTATCATCATACTTGTCCCCATTTGTCGCGGTAACTCTGTTATCCTGATCATCGCGGTAGGCCTATCACTATCAGAAATTTTGAATTTTGCGTTGCCAGTGAGTTCCCAATCGGCAATATTCGCCTAGTCAACCAATGAATTATAGCCTTAGGAAAAGTTTCATTTTAACAGAGAGAAAAATTCTGCATGTTTCTGTAAGTTTTGACAATTTTTATAAGATGTAATTTTTGCAGAATTTGTACATTCTCTTTGACCGTGTCCGTCATTACCTATCGTCTGTCTTTTAAACAGTTATTTCTAACGCCACCCTGCCCTTGGATATCCATTGCTAGGTTTCCATATGTCAATTTCGAAATGGCCAAAGGTGTCTACATTTAAAGGCACATTTTAACTGCAAAAATGCCCAGTTTTTTTCGGAATCAAAATAAGGGCTTCTGCGCTGAAAAACTTTACATTAGACATGTATCAATTGTACTTTTACCTTCTGTGCTCAGGGCAATTAGCGCGTAGGAGGCAAGTAGTGCAATTGTTCCCATCTTGTTCTCTCGGCGTCTGGCATCTTTAAGGAGGAGACTGGAAACATGGAGTCAATTACAAGTAAAATGGAACATTATCACCAATTGAGGCTATTTGGTTCCTCTGAAAACACAATCATTCTTTTTATCTTTATTGATTCACAAAGAAAGTGCTTTATAGGCCATCGTAGAAACCATTTCTTGATACCGTGATAATAGAGACTCCACCTCTGCTTGGTTACGCTGGGCACATAGATTTCTTAAGCTATCATAGAGGAAAATAAACTGAATCACAAACACAATCATATGAATCAAGTTAAAAAGTAAGAGTGAAACAGCAACAAAGATAGGATAATTCAGGAAGGTTAGCGAACAATCTTTATTTCGATCAGGAAATGTGATAACTACCGCGATAATATAGTAACCCATCCTACATGATATTGATATGTGGCATACCCGGTAGATTAAGACTTCTTTGCTCACTATGATATGACACTGAGGATGAGGAAATATTTACGAGACTAGTAATATCGTTTATGCATGTTATGTCATAGTATAACACAGCCACTATCTGACCGTAGTTGTTAATCATGTTAATAGAGCGTAATCATGAACATGAAGAATAGGCCTAGTTTGTGTCAGCATGGAGGTAGGAAAACCGTCATGGCAGTCGAGTGTACATGTACATGCATGATCATCTTGAGCATATGGAGTGTTGAATCATGCAAGGAGGGTTGACATGCATGACATGGTTGAGTTTCTTGTCACACCCAGAACTGTGGAGTCCGAACAACCACCCCCCTTGTGGGAGCAGAGAGGACGTCAGACCCCACAGTTCTAGGGGTAAACTAGCCTAAATAATTGTGGCCTCTGAGCTACTGATTGTCAAACTTGGTGGTGGTGATGGTGGTGATGATGGTGGTGATGGTGATGATGATGGTGATGATGATGGTGATGATGATGGTGGTGGTGGTGGTGATGGTGGTGATGATGATGATGGTGGTGGTGATGATGGGTGGTGATGATGATGGTGGTGGTGGTGATGATGATGATGATGATGGTGG